TAAATTGCCGAGTTTGTACATTGTTTTTAATGTCTTAGAATTCTTATGGTTGCTTCGGTTATGTAAGCTGGAATCCCCATTTGCGTTCCAGAGCTTTGTTCATGAAGACTGTCTATCATAGACTTGGATGATGACAATTGTTTGAGGAGTTGTGCTTTTAAGTTTCCTCTACTTTCAACATATCTTTCATGGCTTCATATAGATTTTACATACTCTGTGCAGTGCTTTTTGGCTGAGATGTGTGATGAAAGTGGTAGTAAATTTCACTTATTGCTTCTAGTCATTTATTTGGCTTGTGCTTGCACTTTTCATGTTTTTTTATAAAGTAAAGAGATCCAATACTTTTATTTTTATCTAGTAAGATAAATCAATTGAAAAAGTTCTGTTATTGAGGTATAGCATCTCCAGGTTGCATGTTTTTTTTTTGACCTTTAACTATTACTTTTGCTCTCTGTCCAATATGATGCATTGTTTTCATTTGTTTAGGAGGTGTTTTCAAGTTGGAACTGTTTTTGCCTGAAGAATATCCATGGCTGCTGCCCAGGTACTTAATTTCATGGGCTTCAATCTATACTTTCACTATCTTACTTTTTTGAAAGTTTCTATTTCTTATTGTATATGATTTTCTGATTCTCTTATTTTTATGTTATTCAATTTTTTGGTGTTGTGACAAAATGAGAAACTTGAGAATCGTCTGTGGGATGCCTTTTTGATGATTTTTAAACAACCGGAATCCTGTTTGACCAACACATCTTTGGCTGTAAACTTTTGATACAGCCAAAGAAGTTAATCTTGTGCTTGTCTTCGCATTTACATGGATGCCCAAGGTTGTGATCTAGGTTTTAGATGGACTCTGTCCAGTCTTAAGTTGTTGGTTTCAATATGTTTTGAAATTAATCCAATTTCATAATCGAGGACGCTGGTAGGTATATTGAAATTGGATCTTTTTCTAGTCTCTTCTTTGTTGTGGTGGTCTAAATTGGCTTGTTTTCTTAGGGCACTTGTTCTTTCTTTTTAAGGATTATTACCCTTATAGATTCCTCTATTATTACCATGTCATAGCCCTTGATTTTGTGTAGTTTGTAAGGTTTAATTTAGGGTTCATAATTTCAATTTTGTGTTTGCCCTAGACTGTCCACTTTTTTTTTTTTTCATAATATTTTCTTTGTAACAGTTTCGATTCCTCACCAGATATATCCTCCTAACATTGACAAGGTTGGTTGTAGCCTTTTGTGCTCTGACTCCTTGATTTAGCTAAAGACTGATGTTAATATGTCCTTACCAAATGAAATTTGTAATGTAGCTTGGAAGGATATGCCTTGATATTCTGAAAGACAGTGGAGTCCAGCTCTCCAGATTCGAACTGTACTTTTGGTATTTGTTCTGACTTTGTATTGAAATTTGCTATGTAGGAACCTTTTGTTCTGAATCTACACTGGTTGTTCAGTTTATATGGTGTTTTGAATGGGGAAAAACTCACCTTGGCATATTGCTAAAGCCTTCACAATATTTTATATTTTTATGTGTTTAACAACTTTTTGTTATATTTATATTTGCTCTTCTATTTATGTATATAGTTGACTGCCTTCACGATGTGTTGTAATTGTAATTTGAAGTTTATATGTCTTAAGATTAGAATAAACTTAGATTGTTATTTTTTGGCATTGTTATTCTGTTAGCATTCAAGCACTTCTGAGTGCCCCAAATCCCGACGATCCACTCTCTGAGAACATTGCAAAGCACTGGAAAACAAATGAGGCTGAAGCTGTTGAAACAGGTAATGTTGATACGTTTTTGTTGGTAGTTGAAGAAAGGTTTTGATTTGGAATTGGAACTTATATGATATTTTTGTTTGGATATTGCAGCAAAGGAATGGACACGTTTATATGCGAGTGGTGCATGACGAATGACATGGTGGAAAGATTTACTTATCTGAAATAACAATTGTGCAATGTATGCTATTCACTGTCTATTTAAAATGGCAAACTTGGAAGAATTGATGATGATGTTTGAACATTGAGAGTTTGATATTTTAAAAAGCTTCCAGTTACTCTGCCTGTTTCGTCTTTGAATTTGTATGAATAGATTATATATTTCTCCTCTTTAATTCTGAATTTAAGAATTATTTTCTACTATGTAGTTTTATTAAACACAAAAGGAATTGAATTTTGAAATTAAATTTCAGGTCACTCAAATTGGGATCGATGTGATTGTACTATAAGATTTCTTTTTTTATTTTGGTTGTGAATGTTAATCATTAATTTTATATCAATGTGACTCATAATGAAGCATTTTATTGTTTGTATTTTAAAGTAGGAAGACAATTATTGAAGTTCACTTTTAAGAAACAGTCAAAATGTCGAATCGCCAAAAGCAAATGAAACCAATAATTCTCACGTGAATTATTGACTAAATATCGGGCATGTTTGGTTTATTATTTTTATCTATATTCTTAATCCTATTTTCCAAATAATGTTTGGCACATTATTCTAGAAATATTATCTTATTTTTTTAATTACTTTTAGACCTCATAAAGTTATTAATTTCATCAAATACACCTTGAAAAAAAGTTTAAAAATTATTAAAAACACCCCTGTGACCCATACTTGCCAGATTTCGGCAACCACCGTTGGTGGTAGTCGGAATCTGTACAATAGCCCATCTGCCGACCAGAAATGATCGGAAGTTCATCGATCTGGCCTTTTTCGGCCAGATCCACCACGGATCTGGCCATGAGAAATGGCCATTATTGAGGTCAACGACGGCCAAATCTTGGCCATCGTTGACCGAAAACGACGGTCATGTCTTTGGCCAAAGATGGCAGTCATTTTGGCCTTTTCCGGTCGTCGCGGCCACAACAGACCGTATATCTAACCTTTTCCGGCCAAATCTGTGGTGGATCTGGCCGGAAAAGGCCATAACGATGCGTTACGACACAGATCCGACCGGTCTGTGTAGTAACACGATTTTCCGGCCAGAGTCCGGCGGTGGTGGCCGGAATTGGGCGCTATAGGTGGTGGGGGTGTTTTTGTCATTTTATATATTAGGGTATTTAATTAAATTAGCAAACCTAAGGGCTTTTTCATAAATTTTTAAATTTTACCTCGTAATACTCCCCTATCCAACTACCCAATATTATTCCCAAAATCCTATCCAAAATAATAAACCAAACGCACCCATCATTGTTTTAAACCCGACCCGGTAAGGCCACCGGGTCCTGGGTTAAACCGGCGGTGATCCAAAAATTTAAAATCTTACTCACTTGAAAATTTTAGTCAGTCCCTATAGGTTTGAAATCTAGAAAATACACCCCTGCAATCTGTTTGGGTTTTGACTTTTCCAGTCAAATTTTTGTTGATTCTAGTAGCCAAAATTCAATCCGACACCACCACCTAAACCACCACCTTCCACTCTTCAAAACCCCTCTTAACTTCGGAACTTGGTAGCACTCTGTCGTCGACTGTGACTTGTGTATACCATAGCGATTGAGTTGATTTTTTCGGCCAAATTCTGTCTTATTACGGCGGTGTCCAAAATTCAAACAAACACCACAGCATCCACTTTACAAAACCCCTCTAACCCCGAAACTTGATAGCCCCTCGTTCGTCATCCGTGGCTCACATATTTGGTTGAATTTTCTGACCAAATTTCAGCTTTTTCCGACGTCCAAAGTTAATCGGACACCACCCCTTAAACCACTAGCCTCCACTCTACAAAAGCCTCTAACTTCGACACCTGATGCCTCTCATTGTCGGCAATCAATTAGGATTTTGTGAATAGTGAAATGGTAACCAAACTAAAGAGGCTGTCGAGTCCTAGTTGGGTTAATTAAGAAAATATCAAGGTTCTAAAACCTGACCCAAGGGGTCGGGTCCTGGTTTGCTTGGTCCAACCGTTACAATTGGGATTCAGCAAGTTTGAAATCTTGCAAACACACTCCTAAAAAATACATAACAGTCCAGCGGTTTGAAATCTTGTAAATAACCTCTACGATCTGACCCTAATTGATTTTTCTGGCCAAATTCCAATTGATTATAAAGACCAAAATTCAATTTGACACCACCACCTGAACCACCGTCCTCTGCTACCACAAAACCTGTCTAACTCGGAAACTTGGTACCCCTCATTCGTCGGTCGTGACTCGCAAACACTGTCGCGATTAGGTTGATTTTTTTTCGGTCAATTCTAACCAATTCTAGCGTCCCAATTCAATCCGACACCACCACTTGAACCACTGGCCTCTACTCTACAAAACTCATCTAACCTCGACTTGGTAGCCCTCCGTTCGTCGACCATGACTTGCGTATTGGGTTGATTTTTCAGCTAAAGCCTAATTGATTCCACACGTCCAATAACACCGACCCACCCCTTAAACCACCAACCTCTGTTTACAAAACCCCTCTAACCCCGATACTTGTGACCCTCATTCGCCCACACGATCAGTTTAGGATTTAGTGAACATTAAAAATTGTAACTCAGATCAAGAGGACACCAGTCACGTGTCCAACCGGCCAGTCTAGTCTAGTTTCCAAAACACTGAAAATACTAACCTTAATTTTATAAAGACTATTTATTGATGAAATATAAATGATCTCATTAGGATTTATTTAGAAAGAATTTACCAAAATAGCGCGTAAAGTTTATTAAATAAACCTTAAGAGTCCTGGAGTGGTTTTACAATAAGAGGTTAAAAGCAGCGTTTGAAGTAGCTGATTAGAAAAAGAGTAGGAGAGCATCTGGTAAACGTCAATGAACTGTTCAATCAGTACACAATCACAAAAAAAAATACTTCTAATCTCATCACTAAGATTGATCAATATCCTCCAAGTTTTGCTTCCATTTTCCCGCTATAGTGGAATAACAAAAATGAGTACAAAAGATGATCATACCATCGAACGAGGGACATTGCGATTACATTTTATCACTGGGTATTCGTTTTAGCAGCTTATATTACCAAAAGTATTCCTCCGCTGCCACCTATGGGAATGAAAAATGATCGTATAAGGCAGGTGAGAGCTCCCTGTAGGTAAGGCAGTACTGCAATTGGCTGAAAGTGCATTATGTTAGTATAATCACAAGGAAAGAGACATGGGAATCTAAGGGACATACAGATGAAGATGGCTGATTTTACCTCCCATTTTGACAAGTCTGTACCACGATATGGGTAAGGACGACTAAGCTCCAGCTCAACAAGGAAAGTACACGCTTCAAGATCATGGAGCTGCAATTTAGATGGTGGGTTACTTCAGAAGAAAAAGGCCAGGTACTAACAGAAAAAAAAAAAAATCTTTTGAGTTATTCTAGAGATGAGTGGTAATTACATATTGCTCAGGCGATGCCTTGTTCTTATTGTTAAAATAGCTGTGCTAGCAGACGTCCCACCCAAGGTAGAATTGAATGGGAATGGAAGAAGCCCTCGGAATCCAATCAATCATCGAACTTCACCCACATAATCAGGAATGAAAAAGAAGAGGGTAGCGGTGCCACTCACCTCCAACACAAAACTACAGAACCTGTTGGTGCATCAGTTCAAAAATTAAGTTAATGTGTTCCTCTCTAAAATACTCAAACCATAATAAGTGGTTATCTCGCCTATCACACTACAAAAATTTATTGCCAGTTGATAAAATGAAGCTTTCACTTGTTCAATAACTTATGTATAGGGCTTAAAGCTGGCAAAATTTAGTGAAGCACCAGTGATTGGATAAATAACACTAGACTTCAAAGGAGAAATCTTGAAATAAAAAATCTAAGACACTCAGACAATGAAGCTCTTCAATGTTATTCACAATCAATAAAGTATCTATGCTGTCAAAAAGCTATTTATCATTCGGACTGAATATACTATTTGGTTATAGGCTATAAGGTTTTTGAAAAGTGTAAGCATTATACTTTAACATATAGGCTGGTTTCTAATAAGTTGGCATCTCAAGGCCACTCTCCCGCATTTTGAAGAAAATTTAAAATTTTTATTAACGAAATAATAGCATTTTTGTCAGTAATAAGTTTTTTTTCCCAAGTCATTATAAATGCAACTTTAGCAAACATGTCTACATCATAAAAACAAAGGCACAACAATCTGAACCAAAATAGTAGAAAGCATTTGTATCAGTAGTCTCAACTATCTTGAAGATTTTATGTACTTTTATATGGATAATTTTTCAAGGGTATACTATTGGGAAAGGGTGAATATCAGCACAATAATATAACCCCAGAACAGCCGTTACCTGTGCCTGCATCATCATGGTGCTCAAAATCTTGTACACCTCTATCGGAGCAGCATAACCATTAATCAGCGAAATGTACGAGAGTGGGAGGCACATAATATGAGACAAGAACCAAAGGCCTAAGAATTTTTGCCGACTGCACACCCAACCAACAAAAAACCATCAATCAAGTCCAGCGACATAGACGGACAGGTTATAGGAATATTAAAGGAGCCTACCGTGAACAGGAGAGAATATCAGCTGGATTATACTTGCTCGGAAGAGATCAGGAAAGCTATCAAGACAGCTGAAGCAGCAACACAAACAAGTGGGTATATTGGATAAAGGAACCTGCAATATGCTGCAGGTTAGAGAAAAAAAGGTTTGATAGAAATTAAGTTTTGAGGCAAACTTCTATAATCATGATTCGACCAATATTGAGAAAGGAAGGGTTTATGTCTTTATGATACCAAATGAGAACTCTCTGTCTGGAAACCATGCAATTATTATCACAACCTATGTGATCCAAGACTATCCAAATACTGCTATTCAATTTTAAAATATATTAAGATCATAAAACTATTTCTCACAATTTTTAAAAGTCATTTGATCCCAACCTTTAAAGTGATAAATTATTCAGTAATTAAAGGTCAGCATGGAAGCATATACCAAAAGGCATAACCTACGTGCTGCATGTTCTTGAATGTTTAAAGAGTACAATTAGTCAATATTTCTATAAGCATGATTAATGTCTCATAAACTAACTACTATCTCTTTTAAATTCAAATATTCTACATTGAACTACATATTTAAGTTAAATGGATAAATATGATAATAATTTCATATGTTAATATTTAAAGTTTTAAGATAGAAATTCAAAAATATTATGAAAAGGACACAAAGTTCATCTGATAATTCAAAGTAAAAGGAAACACAATATAGAATTGGAAAATCCATCAGCAACTATCCAGATTCATTTCATTCTCCAAAACGGTTTATAAGATAGTTATAAAATGAAAACAGCAATAAGAAAATAAGCAAGGACATTCTTGGACTACAATCAGATTGATCATACCTTTCTTCCTTGTGTGGTTGCAATGACATAAATGCCAACCAAATATAAAAAGGTGAGACCACAATCAACAGATCTGGGGCATACTTTTTCCTTGCAATCGGCAAAATTGCCAAGAAAAGCAAAGCAAGAATAAAACAAAAGTTAAAATTATTGAACCCATTCCTCAAATAATACAAAGGCCCTTCAGTTCCGTATAAATGGCTCTCACCACCTCCTACGACATTATATACCAACAAATTCAAAATAGATGATGTCCATTTTCCATAGTAGTGATAGTCAACATATACCGAAAGTGCCTGCAAAATTCAATTCTTTAGTGATACTCAATTAACGTGAATTGCAAGAAATAAGACTATGAATTCCAAATCAAGAAAAGCTATACATGTTAAAGCCTAGTGATCAAATTAACTTACAACAACGGCAACAGAGGTGACAGCACCAGCAAGAAATGCTTGCTTGAATCTTCTAATTAAAGAGTATAATACAACTGGCAGAAACGCCAAAATCGAGAACGGCCAGCCAAGCATTACTCCAACAGCTGACACTGCAACAGCCATAGCAGGTTTGTCTAGAAGAAATAATCCAGATGAAAGACTGATGGCATACATTGACAATGAGCTAGGTAGGAAACCTGGAATATTACGCAACATAGTGGAAAGTAGAGAAGTCAGATAAATGGAATATACAGTGTACAGGAACGCTTATTAATAGAATAATTAAGACCTAAACGACAGGCTCACTCACTAGTGCTAGCAAAGAAACAACCACTGGTTAAGCATAGCATCGCCAGAGCATAAGAAGCCAGACGCTTTCCATACTTCCTCGAAAGGGCTACCACCAGAACGGTATCTGCAGCAACAGAAAGGAGACCAAGAAAGAGCCTCACTGCATAGAATACTCTCACCTATAAGGATGAAAAATATGCAGCTATTAAAGAACAGTCTACAATCAAGAAATTGCAGAAGAAAGCTTCAGAATGCAAGAAAAAAATCTTACTTTCTCATCAGCAAACAACCAAGAAGCCGGTCGGCCCACTAATTCATGAAAAAGAAGGTATAAATATGACCGAAGTGCAAACTGAGAACTGCAGTGAACATATAAAAATGAAAAAATTCTCAATAAACTCTTCCAAAAGTTCAATCTTTAGCAACTATTAGAATGCAGTTGAGATTCCATTTCACAATCAACAATTGTTTTTCTTTATATCCATTCTAGGCGTTAAGCTCCTCGAATTTTTTAAAGTTAAAACTAAAATTTAGAGAAGAACCTAAAAAACATATATATAGAAAAAGAAAATCCTCCTATTCTGAAGAAATTAATATAATTGATTTTACATTACCTGTACTCCCACGTTTGGAAACCGGATTTGTAGAGCAAGTAGTGAAGCGGCTCCCAGTAATTGAAAACCTCGTCACAGTCGTGTATGATGTTTGATGTAGCGCTCATGTAGCGTAGCATACCTAGAGCCACCACCGGCAAGAACCACCTGAGTCCCTTGTCCTCGTCTCCGCCGCCGTCCGGTCCCTTCGTCGGCTTATCGTACTTCGTGTACGTGGACGATGATGGCGGAAGATCGGAAGGCTCTGACCGCCTCTGCCGCGTCGTTAGAGACATCAAGCTTTTAAAATGAATTCTAACTGTTTGTGAAAATGATCGTGAGAGTGAGAAACAAAGAGCAAATGGAACTCACTAAAGAAAGGACGCTCCGGCGTGGAATGATCCGTTGCTTCGACCCGAAGTAATATATGGTTTTTTTCACTTTTCTTTTCTAAACAATCACACCCCTATGTTTTAGGAAATAATAATTGATACCAAAATTTGTATTTATGACATAAACAACCCTTTTTACCACTGTGTCTCCTATAGTAATAAGAAGTTTCTAAGTAATTAACAAATTCATATGTTTCAAGGATTCCTAATCATGTTTTAATTAATTAACTCAACAAATTATTGCGTTTCAAGGATTATTATAAATTTATTTATTTCCTAATTCATATCAACTTCAAATCACCTCTCCAAAAGCTCTATAAATACTTTCACTCTCCGAAAATTAATGTGTATGAACTTTTCATGATGAGGATAATGAGGATAAATAGGATGAACTTTTCATGATGAGGATAATGAGGATAAATAGGATGAAGATGAAAGAAGAAGCTCAAATATAATCATCATCAATGGAGGAGAATATTTCAGTACGGAAGTACGTGGAAGTTTGCAGCAAAGAAGACGGGTTTCTGGGCTCGTACTTCGTGGCCAAAGTGGTGGGGAGAGTAGGGAAAGAGGGGCTAAAAGTCGAGTACACGACGCTGGTGTCAGAGGAAGACGAGAACAAGAGACTGCGGGAGGTGGTGCCGGCGAGGGACGTGAGGCCGTGCCCGCCAACAATTGAGGTTGCGGAGTTCCACAAGCTGCAGAAGGTGGACGCGTACGACAGAGAAGGGTGGTGGGTGGGGAGGGTTATTGGCAGAGTCGGCGGCGGAGATGAAAAGTATTGTGTTCACTTTGATAGTACTGGGGATAAGCTTGTTTATTCTGGTTCAATGTTGAGAGTTCATCAAGAATGGGAAGATGGAATTTGGGTTCCTTCTAGAGAAGAGGTTAATTTGCATGGATTTGCATGAATTAATTAACAGTTATAATATTGAATATTGATTATGGATTATTAATTAGGATTAAAGAAATATAGAAATATTTACAAAAAGAATTCGATTTGTATTCAAATTGCATTAAAAGGTTAAAGAACTTTCGTTTCCATTTTTTTTTTTTTTTTTTTTAATATGAGTTTTTATATCTATCATATTTTATTAAAGATTAAAACCTATTATTACAACACTTGCAAATTAAGTTACTTTTCAGTTTAAAATAATTATTCATATATTACTAAAATATATACTAAGAAGTCAAACATTATAGAATTACGAATGTAATTTACAATCAATTGTAAATAATAGTTTGTAAATATGATCTTTAAAACATTGATGATAAAACACATATTATTATGAGGGGTTGGATCACTCTATCATTTTTTTTCTTTTTTCTTTTTTCGATGATTAGGCGTGTCCGAACCAACTTACGTACACTTTAATTAATCCACCGAGACCGTGAAACTACTGGCCATATAAGAGCTTTAATGGCTACTCCTATTAGCAACCGAAGATAGACTCAAACTCATCACCTCTTGAGGGCATCTCTAACCTAGCGCTATTTTGGTATAAAAACACCAAAATGGCGTGAAAACAACCTCCAATCCAACGCCAATTTTTGCACCAATTTGGTGTCCATATACAATGCCACGCCAAATTTGGTGTAGCATTGTTCGTGCAGACCAATTTGGCGTGGCACTATTCAAACAGTATAAAAAAATATTTTTTTATTTAAATTTTGTTATTTGTATTTAAGTTAATTTGATTATTTTTTATATTAATATTTATAATAATAAATTCATAATAATTATATAATTCAAAAAATGAAGAAAAATTAAAAACAAAACTTTATTCAATGAAAATATTAAATTACAATAACTCAAAATAAAAATTAACACTAATTTAAAAATACTAAAATTAAAAGAAAATACAATATAAACTAAAATAATATTATTTAATAAAAATATCATTTCTAATATTTAATTAATATATATAAAAATAATGAGTGAAATAGATTAATTATTGATTATTACAATAAAAGAAAAAAAATATTTTAAAGAACATTCTTTTTAGTGTAATATTTAGTGCAATGAGTTGGAGATGCAATAGTGTTTCACACAAAAAATCACACCAATTTTGTGTGAAACTTGCACCAATTTGGTGTAACGGGTTGGAGATGGTCTGGGTAATACACCCGAAAATAACTATCAAATCACTCCGCCACCCAAAAGTTGTTATCACTCATCATATTTCATATTGTTAAAATATGTTAAGATCAAAAAAAGTTAATTAGTGGAAAAATGTTTGAAAAAAAATTTCAACCAAACAAATATTCAAATTTTTGCTATTGTAAGATATTATAGAAACATATTTAAAAAAAATATATAGATTTGAAAATGATTCTTTGAAATTATTAAAAGTATTTTTACATTTTAAAAATATTAAGAAGTCTGTAGCACTCCGTGATCCTACTATCATGAAATTTGTCTAGTAAAAACAGTAATTAGCATTGTAAAGCAACAACGAAATATAATATATATCAAGGCACTTTGTCAATTAATTCACTCATCACAAATTTGACAAAGAACACTTCCTGATGGCATTGCTCTTGATTCATCATCATCATCATCATCAACAACAAAAATAGTGGAAAGAAAACCAGAAGAATCTCACATAACATCACAAAGAGCTATTATATATTAAAAAGGCTCCATGGCACTACTTGTATTATAAAAACATAACAACAGTTTTACTAAGTTTTATAAGAGTTTGTTGCAACTATAACAATGCTGGTGACTCTGATAGTATTCGAGCACAGCAGCCTGATCGTATAGCTACACGGACTCGCCTCAATTTTCCGGTGCATATAATTATTGGGTATAGCCTCTGTCGAGAAGTAAACAGAAAGAAGAACACAAGCGAACCTCATTAATGACATCGTTTAACCGGTGTTCTGGAGTCCGGCAGCAATACCCTTCATGGTCAAGATGAGTGTGTCCTCCAAACCAGGGGCGTATTCACTTGATAGATTAAGTTTCACAAGCTCATCACCAGGTTTCCCTGATTCTGATTCCATAATTTCCTTCGAGATATGTGGCCGCACCTTCACATTGTAGTTTGGATCACGAATTCGTTTCAGCGTGTAGGCTTGGCACACGTTGAGAGTTGTGATGTATGAATCACGCAGCCTCAGTCTTTGCTTCAAGTATGGATCTCCTTCCAGAAGATCCTTGTGTCCAGCAATCTATACATACAAAAGAAACAATGAGTTCCAACTATTTGACAATTATCTTCAAAAATTATGGGGAAACAAGGGAGGCTTCAAACTTTGACAACATGGGGATGGTTCTTTTCTTATAAAACAAAAATAACTCATAAAGGAAACGAATGCGCTACCGAAAATAAAAACCAGGTACAGTATCATAAAAGAATAACAAACAAAAAAAAGGGGTCTTCTGTTGGTGTAAATTTACCTGCAGAAGAAGGCTCTTGGTTTCTTCATAGTTGGTCCTCAGCCTCTGTCCGAATGACCATAGGTCTTGAGAAACAAGTAGATGGTCAAAAAGGGCGGCTATCCCAGGGTTTCCCTTGGCGAACACCATTTCAACCAAATCAATCGTGACTCTAAAGAATGGCCATCCCTTGTACATCGCCTGCAGCATATGAAGATTCCTAACATCCTTCTGAATGACATGTCTGAATGCAGCTCCAAAACCAAGCCACACAGGAAGATGAAATCTTGTTTGTGTCCAGGCAAAGATCCAAGGGATTGCACGGAGAGATTCAATACCACCACTTGGCCTTCGCTTCGATGGACGACTTCCAATGTTCATTCGGCCATACTCCAGCTCTGGTGTAGCCTACAATTATATGCAGAACAGGATTGTTTAATTAATCACAAACATATCATTAATTTGAACAGATTAAAAAGAGACCACATGTGTGTACTTACAAGGCGGAAATATTCAACAAATCTAGGTTCATTGAACACAATGGAGCGGTATTCCTCTGTTGCAACAACAGCCATTTCATCCATCAGGGCACGCCATTCTGGTTTCGGTGAAACTGGGGGATGCATACCATGCTCAAGTGTGGCAGCTGTAAAACGCTGAAGTGTTCTGAAGCACAAGTGTTCTTCCCCAAATGATTGCTCAATAACCTCACCTTGGACAGTAACACGGAGTGAGCCATGAATTGTATCTGGTGGTTGAGACAATATAGCAAGATGGGTGGGACCACCTCCTCTTCCAACAGTCCCACCACGGCCATGGAACATAGTTAGTTTGACACCAAAATCCTTAGCAACTTTTATGAGCTCTTCTTGAGCCTTATATAGCTGCCAGGCGGCAGAGAACCGTCCAGCATCTTTACCTGAATCCGAGTAACCAATCATGACTTCTTGCTTACCATTAATCCGGTTTCTGTACCAATCAATTGAGAAGAGCCGAGACAGAGCAGCAGGAGCCGCCTCCAGATCTGCAAGCTTCTCAAAGAGTGGAACGACTCTAAGTGGCTGTTTCACATGACACTCACGCTGTAGGAGTTCAACAGCAAGCACATCAGATGGTGCAGTTGCCATTGATATTATATATGCTCCAAAACTGTCTGCTGGGAGTTCTGCTATGACATGAAATGTGTCCAAAACATCTGCAATTTCTTCAGTTTTAGGAAGATCAGGACCAAACAATGGTCGTTTGCCACTGAGTTCAGCTAAAAGCCATTCCTGTCGGTGTTCTTCAGACCATTCACGGTAGGAACCAATTTCCAAGTGCTTGGTAATGGCATCTAAGACATCAGTGTGGCGATCTGACTCTTGCCTGATATCGAGCCTAACAAGTGACAGTCCAAAGGTGGAAACTTGCCTCAAGAAATCCAGAAGGCTTCCATCAGCAATTGGTCGATCACCACAAGAGCAGAGTGACCTATAACAGAGTTCAAGAGGTTCCAAGAACTACAAAACAAAAAAACTAATTAGTAAAAAGAGACTACCGGAAAGTAGAAAAGAAAAATTCAATTTATGGGTTCATGCTATGATGTCCAAATCAACACTTGAGTATGATCTAAAAACAAAATCATTAATTACATAATCCAACTCAAATAACATTTTTCCCTTTTCTCTTGAAAATTACATTCTTAATGGTTCTTGTTACTCCAGAAAGGAGTTAATCAATCCCTTATGCAACGTAACCATGATTACAGATCTACACTGCAAATGGAGGTGGAAATGAATACCTAGTGCCCTATAGGTTGACCCACAGGTAGGGCAGAATAACATCAGAAAAAGAGCAAAAACTGTTTACTATATGATAATAAAACACTTATATGAAGAAAAATGAAGAAGATACCTCGTCAACATTGGTGAATACTCCCTCCTCTGGAATATCAGAGATTCCATGGGCCAACAGCTGACGAGCACGTTCACGTGTCTGATACAGCTTATCCCTCACATCACCAAGAATTACACGATAGGGTTCACTTGGAGGAATTTGTTTCCAGAACTCTGGTAGTGAAATGAACATTAGAAACATTTTGAATACATTTATATCCTAAGAAATAAATTTCTAGAATGAGTCTCTGCTGCACTTACCAATATAGTGCTTTGCATCTCTCCTTGAGGATCTGTGAAGTTCATCAGAACGAACACGAAGCTCATCACTGCAACGCCACATGGACAACTGCAAAGAAAAAACTAATTAAGAAATTTAAAATAATGATGACAACATTATGCAACAAGGATATATGAGTGAAAATCTCACAATTGCAGAAACAAAGCTCCTTAAAAAAGGAAAAAAATCAGAGAAGCGATTAAATACCTCAAACATAAGATCCTCAATTTGGGAGTAGTACAAGTTAGCAGCCATCATTCTTGCCAATAAGCAAACATCCCTTGTGACCTCAGGAGTCACCCTTGGATTACCTGAAATTCATAACATTCAAAAATTAAGCTTTGGAGACAGAGGAAGACAAGAGCTCCTGAACTAGACACCACCCTTCTGATATTATGCATGCCGTCTTTAATTCGATTACTTTGCTATGAAGTTTGCATCATAAATATTTCCCAATGGAGAAAGATCATACCATCACGATCACCACCCATCCAGGAAGAAAACTGAATAAGTGGGGCGTTGTAAGGAACACGCTCATTGATCCCTATGTTTTTCAAAGCTGTATCAACACGGCGCAAGAATTTAGGGACACCCTGCCAGATCGTTTCATGGAAGTAGCTCATCCCTGCCCTCATTTCATCTTGTGGAGTTGGAGGGGTCCTTCGGATTTCATCTGTACGGAATGCAGCTTGAATCTGGAAGAGAAAGAAACATCGAAAAAGATTAATTTTGCAAGGATACTTTGCAATTAGTTAACAAATGCTAGATGCCCGTCTCATACAATTTATTTATTCAAAAGATGTTACCACACAACCAGGTTAACATAACTAAGAAAAAATTAACATCTCAATGCTAGTGAAACATAAAAAAACAAAGAGCTCTTAGCCCACCATGAGGATTATTTTAATTATATTTCTGTTAATAGCCAGCCATTTTATAATTGAAAAGTATACTAAATACGTGATACACAAAATTTACCAGAAGTGATAGTTAATCTAGTATTAAACAAATCGTTCAGCAACTTTTTAACAATTAGACTACTTTAGTAAAATGTTCTGTAATGGCATCAGAAGCCAAAGTAGTTAATTTAACAAACTGGGAGTTTACCTCTCGCTGTAGAGCCTCATCAAGCTCTTGCTTATCATCCGGAGTGATATCTTTGGCATATAACTGGGCTAAACAATTCCGAATCCTGAACACATCAGAAAACATACAAAAGTAACAAAGTTAAGCTAAAGAACATTCATGAAATCAGATCTTCATGGAGAGTGGAACTTAAACTTACCTGATAATGTTAGCTAAGTACATTAATATCTAAATGAAACCGTACAACGGTAAGAATCACAGAACAAACCTTCCATGCTTCTGAAGCAAAGATCTACGGACGGATTGAGTTGGATGAGCTGTTAAGACCAGATCCACAGTTTGATTCTTCAAAGCATCAAAAATCTCCTCCGGAGACTTCTTTAGTTCTCCCACAAGTCTCTTGAAAGTTTCTTCAATGTCAGATTCAGTTGTTGCGGAGTTCTCATCCACGAAATTACCTGTTTTCACCTTCTTGATCCTTCGACGGTAAGCAATCTGAACCTCCTCAGCCAAGTTGGCCAAGTTAAGCATGTGGGAGAAAGCTTTAGCAATAACAATGGAGTCCCCAGGATCCAAACTTGTCAATACATTTCCAAGCTCCTCAAGTTTTTGGGGCTCATGCTTCCCTTCATACTCAGCAGAAAGCTCATAACACTCTTGAACCTAAACAAATTTAACATCATCAGTTAAGTTGTGCAATTACAAAAACCATCCAAATTCTTCTTAAACATTTTTATTTTACCGTAGTCTCATATAGCCTTTGATCACTGCAATTGTGGTTTTAAATAAATCAAAAACCCCGAAGCTATGCAAATAACTCGATTTAAAATAGCTTAATTTCAAACTGAGTCACTTAACACTCAAGTCAAAGCCTTTAAGATACTTTGACTTAAAAATAATAACTATAACGAGTCTTCCTGTATACAAAGAAGAGTTATCTGGGTATCAATTGAAACCAGCTAATCCATGAGATTCTGGGTTCAGTGAAAAACACAAAGTTCCAAACTTTTCACACCATAAATTGAGAATTCCACTCAATTAAAGGTATCAGTTAAAGAGTGTTTGGCTACATGAGGATCAGCCAAATTCAAGTTCGAAAAAAAAAAACGATGCTTGAAATGATCGGAAACGGAATCAAAAGAGAAAATGACAAACCGTTTCTCTGAGATCCTCTCCATGCAAATCTTGAAGAATATCAAGGAATCGATCCAAAAGCAGAGCATCATATTCAATCAACTTATCATCTTCACTAACTTTTCGAGGCACCAGAAGCCTCAGCTGTGCATCAATCGATGCCATCTTCTCTATATTCCTAGGCGCCGCCATTGTTCTCCACTCTTTTCAGCTAATCCTTCTCACTGACAAGAATAAGAATCTCAAACCTTATAATCAAAACTAAAAAACTAACAAATAATTAAAAAAACAAAAAACAAAATCTGATCACAACCCAGAAAAGTAGATCCTCTGATAAGAAACTTTGATTGTTAAAATAACACGTGTATGTAGCAAAAAATGTAGCTTTATGAAAAAAAAATCTAACTTTTGGGCTCATATAGAAACAGAGCCAAAAAAAAGAAAAAACAGAGTATGCTTACAAATGGAGTTGAAAATTAATAGATTTTGAGAGGGACCCAGATGAGAATAAATGAAAAGAGTTATGGATAATGAAGCACCTGAATCCGCGCAAGTGAGATTGAAGAAGAAAAGACAGAAATTGGATCAGAAAAGAGAGAGAAGAAGAGAGATACAGAGAAGAGATGAGGAGACAGTGATATATATAGAAGAGAGTGAAGAACAGAAAACAAAAACAAATTTGGAATTTCAATTACTTTATGGTAATTCCATTTCTCTCAGTAAAGGGCGAAATTTGTGCTAAAAAAATATTAAAAGATTTATTTAATTATTTATGAAAGTAAATTGAAACTCCCCTGCTTTGTTTTGTTTTTGTTTCAACTAAGTGAAGGCTTTTGAACACCTCTGAGGTTTAGTGAGATAACAGAAGACCCACAGATTTCAGAATAAAACAATTACATCCTAGTATAAGTGTTCAGTTCTCTGGAACTACAAGGGTATAAGTGTTCTATTCTGAAACTTATGAGCCTTTTATAACCTCACTAAACCTTAGGGGTGTACGGAAAACCGTAAGTGTGTTAGTTGGTTTGGTTTTCCTTTCTCTCTCTTCTTCTTCAATCTGTTTTTGTTTTATTTATTGAGTTTTATTACGGTAGTCTGCCCCCATAAAGTTACCGGAGTTGGTAAGTTAACAAATATCAATTTATTTAATTTAATTTAATATTTTTGTTTCTCTACTTGGTAAAGGAATATTCTTGAATGATGCTTTTATAAAATTCTGAATTCTATAGTGAACTTCTTTCCAATTGGGCAAACGATTCTTCTAACTTTCCATATTTTCTTATCGGGACTTGAAGTAACTGTGTTTATAACTAGTTACATATTTTTTTTATCTTCTAATAAATAAAATATATGAAAATAAATAAATAATATTTTTGGCAATCTTAATTTTTTATATGCATTCTCTAATATTTTTTTGTTTGCATTTCTAATATATTTTTATTGCAATCTATGTTATTAAAATGACAAATTACAGTAGAACCTCTCTATAGTTATAATGTTAGGACCAATTAAATTTATTATTATGAGGAGGTTATAACTTAATAGAGGTTTAGTTACAAGAATTATTTTTTTATTCAATAATTATTGTTTTGATTTCTTATTTTATAATTCATGTTTTAGTAGTATTATGATTTCAATTCATGATTTAATAGTATTAGGATTTTAATTCATTATTTTAATCGCATTAGGATAGTGTGGAAATTGATATCAAATAATCATTGTAGAATTAAGTTATCGAATTCGACAACTTCATTACACTAATTAAATGATATTAGTGTTTTCCTTAATAATCCAAATGAGCAACAAGTAATGTATATTTTAACTAAAGAAGAAATCATTACGAGAATTAAACAAGAAGAAGAATGAGATAATCCTAATGATGATAGTACGAAAATACCAAAGGTTTCGTGCCAAGAAACTCTAAACATACTTGAAAAGATAGAAATATTTTGGCTTCAACCAGAATGTATCCATGCTAACGACTTATTATGTACCCATAAAATAAAAGATGTGATAACAACTCTACAACATAAATCACTGTCCTAAACAACTTTAGATAAATATTTTATTTCATCTTAAACTTTTAATGTAACATAACATATATTTTTGCAATATACATATAATTATTACTATGTAGAGACAAATTCCTTAAGACGGAATCTAGAAAAATTATAACTTATTACAATGTGAAATTTATTATTATTTATAACTGGCTCAAGTTGAGAACAGAATTTTTTATGACTACATGAAGGTTATTCCTATATAGAGTATCACTATAAAGAGATTCTACTGTAATTAGTTATAATCCTTTTTTTTTTTTTTTTTTTTATAATCGGATGTCCATTTTATGGGGCTCGAATACAAGATCTTTTGGTAATCTACTCGAATGGTAAAAGCCTTATTATTTGGCCGCAAGGCTAATGGTTGTCATAATCCTTTTTTTCTTGCCATACAAAGGAAAAAAGATAGTTGTAATTAAGATAACAAATACATTATGGTTTAGTTAATAGTAAGATTTTATTAAATTATGTATGTTCAATTTACATTTTCTATGTTCGTCAAACATAGAGTAAAAGTTTAAACTCATTAACTAAAAATGAATTCCGTTATTATTTTTAAAATTTATTTCTAAACTATACCAAACTCTTTTTACCCTTATAATATACATTAAAAAAATCTATTATCTATTAAAAATTCCCTGGGAAAAGAAGCTCGTCTTATCTTGGAAATGGTTCATCTGGTGTAGATTCAGGCTTCAGCCTTCACATATGCCTAAAAATAAATAGAGTGTTTGTAGGTCATTAAGGAGGCAAATTTGTCACTCAATATTCATTGGTGGGTTAACACCTAAATTCATAAAATTAAAAAAATAATAAAAAAATCAAATCCCTTCTTTAGAATATGCTTTTGGTGAATTATTTATTCTTATGGGCCATATAATCAGGAAGATTTAATCATAAATTAAGAAGAATTTCTTAAAATTATTCTATATTAATCCAAAATACGACACGTCTATTAAAGCATAACACAATTTTTTATTTTTTAAGTTATAGCATAAAGTACAAATGTATTGTATATAATACATAAAGATGAAAATGCTAAAGTTTATTAAAGATAAAAGTTGTGGTTGATTAGGCATGGTTGGTATCACATGCAAAGCAAAAGATAAAAGATGCGTTTGGATGAAAGGAAAAAGTAAGAGAAAAAAATAATATCGATCATTATCACTAATTAAGCTCATAGTTTAGGATTAATCAAAAGGCTGCAAGGATTAAATTAATTAATTAAAATTAGAGAGGTTCACATGAGTGGGATCAGTAAAATAATGAAAGTTGGTACTGTGTCCGCATCAACTATGACATATAATGCGCATAATCGTGCATGCTTCCATGTGGTTTATGTAACTCTCTATTGGATTTTGTCTCTCGAAAACAAAACCACTTTTCTTTTTTATATTTAAACATATTTCATCTTATCAAAACCATCTCCGGAACATTAATGAGTAGCCTGATAACAAAGAAAAATATAAGTTTAAATGGTCTCTCGAGTTTAATTAAGGCATCACGACTTCTAATAGGGTTGACAATTGGAGTTTGTAACCGATTGATAGTTTTAAAATCCTAAAAGATTAGTTGAGATGATATGCCCAAATTAGCTCAGATATCTCCGATTATTAAAAAAAAAAAAAAAAAAAAAAAACACAATTGGTAGAACTACCAAGTATAATATTTAACCAAAAAGAGAGATTATAGCTCAACATATATTTAAAAGAGATAATGTGTAAAGTTTAAGATGATGAAAACAACATAAACCTGCTTGTCATCGTTTTTTTAAGGATAACTATAAAATATTTTGATAAATATAGATTAAAAACATAAAATAATTTTGTTTTATTTTACAGATTACAAAAAGGATAAGTAAATAAATATTACACATTTTGTCAGATAAAATAACGAATGAATTTTTAATCATTTCCTACCAAAATGGTGTTTAAGAAAAGTTTAAAGTCTTTATACCATCAAATTTTAGTTATTTATGTAACAATTATGGTATTGTTCTAAGTGAGACACATTATTTTTTTTATAAAACCGTTATTTCTTCTTTTTTTGAAACAAAAAAGAAAAAAAAAAATTCAAACTAGTAAGATTATCGATCTAGTATGATAATATGACATAATTCTACTTTATATTAAGTGATTATATATACAAATTTAAGAGGGTAGTATTTTTTTTTTTTTCTATTTTGTCTTGAAAAAATGTATAATATTTGTTCATTTATTATTATCCTTTAAATTAAAAAAAAAAAAAAAAGTTTCATATGTTACAATATTTTATGTTTGTCATAAGAAAATTACAATAGATACATTTCACTGTTTTATTTTTAGATATTGTTTTCCAAAAGTGATGATGTACATATTGCCATATTTTGAAAATACAGAAATCAACGTTTTTGTTTTTATTTTTGAATTCAATTTAAAAAAAAAAAAAAACAATTGAAAACTTTAAATATGATAATGTGATATATTTATTTGTGTTAAGAAATGTTCAAATGTGTGGGGAGAGAAAAGGATTGATAAAATATATATCATAAAACCCAAATTATATCAAAGTCAACTATGAATTATGTGACTCCCACAGGCCACAGCATGACTCTCGCATGTGATTCAACGTGTGACAATTACATCATGGATCGAATTGGGATTTATTTATATTTATCAAAGGTTTATAATTAACCAGTTATTTCATGAATCAAATAACATATATATATTCGATATTTTTTAAAAAATTATTATAATGAGAGGGGTAAGAAATATTGCAATGGTGCATGCACATTGAATTATTTAATTACTTATATTTTTAGTTCATTCATATTAGGTCATGATCCCACCACTATTATTAAGGGAGTAAACAATTTTCCCACTCAAGATTTGCTTTAATGACATTTTTTCACTCAAAATGTTTTAAAATATTACTTTTCCACCAAAAGTTTATATTCTGTTTCTACTCAAAATATACTTCACTTTTTTAATAAGTGTTTGACGAGTTATCAGGAGTTAGGGTAAGAGAGGTTTTGTAGAGTGCATACCAATGTATTGAATGGTGGTGATGGATTAAATATTAGCCGCCAGAATCAACTGGAAATCAGATAAGAACATGAAACTTTAGCTTTGCGGTGATTGACAATTGATGAGAAATCAGGTATCAGAGTAAGTGAGATTTTGTAGAGAAGAGATCAAAGGTTTAAATAGTAGTGACAAAGAGAATTTTTGTTGTCAGGATCGGCTCTAAGTAGTAACAGAATATTTACTTTATGTGGAAAAGTGATATTTTGAAACTTTTTGAACGAGAAAGTTATTAAAACGGCAAACCTTGGATGGGAAAAAGAAAGTTATTAAAACGGCAAACCTTGGATGAGAAAAAGTCGTGAACTCTATTATTAACTCTTCCCAACAATGACAACTCTTATTTTCTTATCATTTTCGATTCTATTTCCAATAATTCATCCAATTACATAATTTTTACACAAATTTATGATAATACTAATTAACGAAAATTAACCAAGCAATTTGAAATTCTGAATCCGCTTTTCCCGGCTAGAAGCCTAGGGCCTTAGAACAAGAACATAATAAATCAAATTACGTGAAGTCTAGGATACGGTGTTGAAATTT